CGTATAACAAGACAACGGGCAACATTGCTAAACATTTCTTTGCTTCCGGATTCAGTGAGAGTCCTGAACATAAACTTATGTATATATACGCGTAAATTCTAAATAGGATAATCTATTTTAGAAGGAATGCAGGGAAGCACTTTTTTCAACCCTTCTTGGGTAAGTATTTTCGAGTGGCTTCACTTAGAAGGCCTACTTAAATTATTTTCTGGGAAATTCTGCCTCCTTACCAGTGTTGCCGCCAATAATTTTTAGTGGTTAGCCAAATTCCTTTAAAAAAGGACTAAAAAAGAGCTAAAAAAGTCGTTGTGGCTAAAAATGGTAGCTAAAATTTTTTAACATTGGATCCTTGGCTAAAAACTTCTGTGGTAAAACTGGTCCTTCTTTGCTATTTAAAGTCAATGAGTAAGCCCCTTCAATAGGGATTTGCAGCAGAAATGATCAACTTATGGCTATAAAGAGAATCGATGCTCAAATAATTAAAAAACTATACGTCTAACCTTTAATAAGATAATAATTACGTAACTATCTGAGTGTTACGCAACACAACGCATGCCAAATAGGGTATTCGCACGAGGCGATTTTACAGGAAACAAAAGTTGAATGCNCAGCCTTTCGAGCTTGTGTTTAGTATTCACGATGTTAGAACTGCATGAAATTAATAAAAATTGTTTAAAATTAGTGTCTAGCCGCCAAAATGTAAGAAAACATATACAAAATCATACATTTTTAACAATTTTCTAACACTTCGCTATACCATCGAAAGTAAAATTCTGTTCGACAGAAAATTCGATACTCAACGAAAATTTCGACACGCTTGCATAGCTCATAATACGAATTTCACTTTCGATATTCGATCTTCGATAGCCAGCGATAGCCAGCGAAGATCGAAAATCGAATGCAGCTCATAATAAGGGCCACAGAATGTAAACAAACACAGGGTTGCAAGGAAAAAAAGTTGAACGAGCTCAAATTGGCTGGCGGCCAACTTTGTTGAAAGCGATTAGTTGAAAGGCCGTTCGGACGAGGCGATTTTAGCTTTCAACTAAAAGTTGCCTGAAAAATCGCCTCGTGCGAAAGCCCCATAATACATACATATATGTATATATTGCCCTTCATTTACTGGTGATGAGCAATGGATTGTCAAATTGTTCATCGAACCCGTCCTATAGGCAGAGTTTACAAAACTTTCGGGTAGAATGTGAAGTTATTTCAAAAAAAGAAGTACCACTCAAATACACCCAGATTTAGTGAGTAGTATTGCAAATCAACATTCTGTTCGTAATATATTCATCTCCCGCCTTAATCGCATAAACCTTTAATCTTTAAATTAGAGCACCTCACCATACTTCGCTTCAACTTTAAGTTTTATACATATGTCCATGTAAGCGCAGAAATCCTCAACGCCTGCAAAACTTGGTATGGAGCTCTAACCTTGATTGCCCTTCCCCCATCTCTCGCGAAATAAAAATTGCGACCAATATAATTTTTAATAATTTTTTTATTTTATTTATACTTCTTTCATTCATTCGTATTTTTTTAATATTGTAAATTGTATAATTGTTGTAATAATAATTTTGTAAATTTATTAAGACAAAAGTTGTGTGTATGTATGTATGTATGTAAGTATGTGTATGCTGTATGTCTGTTCGCACTTCAACGCAAATTTCTTCGTACTTATTTTTTCTTTAACTAGTGTTTTGATTAAAATACATAGACGCAAGAATGCATTGTATATAATATATATTCATTTGTTTATTTGACTGCTGCTCTTACATTCACATACTCGTACATACATATTGTACATACATACAATATATTTTCATTATTTATTCATTTATTTAAGTATGTATAACGTTGCAATGATTTATTGTAGTTAATAAAAAATAACTATAATTATGCTTAAGTTTTGCTTGTGCAAATTTAAATGTTGGCTCACCGGCAAATACATACATTTGTATGTATGCGAGCATTTATATGTAGATATACATATGTGATTAAAAGCTAACTTATTCGCAAGTAAATGTAAATTATAATCTAATTTTAAAGTAATAATACACACACGCAATGTACAAAAGTAATTAAAAAAAATACTTTAAAAAGCTAAAAAACAAGCAGTAAAAAATTATTAAAAAAAGCTAATTAATTATTTAACATAAAAAAAGTGTTTTTCATTTTGTATTTGGTTTTTTTTTTTACAAAAATGTATGGCACTGTTACTGTAAATTAACTTCAATTGTTTTTTTTTTAGTTTATCATTATTGTTTTTGCGAATTACTTTAAAGTTTTGCGATGTTCTGTTTTATTTTTATTAATTAAATATAACTTGTTGCTATAACTAACGTTTTATAAGGCATTAAAACAAATTATTTCAGCCGCTTGCGCGCTGCCGAAAAATTTGTGCTTAAAAATTTAATTTTTTTATTTATTTATTTTAAATTTCATGTAACATTTAACTTTGTTATTATAATGAGAATTGTTCATGTTAAGAGCTTAACATACATCCATAATTTTAATAACTACGGCAATTATTTGTGTATTCAAATACATACATATACACATTATAAATATTTTGGTTTCACTCTTCAAGTTGAGTTTTTATGGCCGCTTAGAATTCACTGTTTGCGAAAAACGAAAAACATACATACAACTCTATATACAGACATTAAAAATACATAGTGGGAGAGAACATAGTAAAACTAGGCTTAAAATATAGATTAAAATAAGCGCACATGCACAACGGCAACCCTGCAGGTATGCTTCTCTTGTTGTTTTTTTGCAGTACGCATTGTCTTTGGATTTTCTAGCTGTTGTAGTGGCAAGGGTCCAAGGAAAATAATTTCTTATAGGAAAAAACTTCCAAACCTCAAAACCAAATTAAAAATAAATAAACTATGTAATTTCGAAATTTACGATTAGTCACGTACTTAAATATATTAGATGTTTTTGGCATGCTATAAGCTTTAATGTATAAACAAAAAACAAAAGAAACAAAAAGATGTGTGAAAAAATTTGCGGTTTTGCCTTTGCTTGTGTGTGTTCGCGTTTGGCGCACAAAGGGAGAAACGAAATGTGTTCGTTGTTTAAGAAACCTTTTTTTATGAACTTGAATTGTTTCATTTTTTATGACTCAATATTTTTCTTGCACTGCTTGTAATTGTTTGAATTTCATTTCAATGCCTTTGAAATTTGTATATTGCATTTGGCTGCGGTTGCTATTTTTTGATTTTAAACTATTTAGATTCGTTGTAATTGCATTTCCTGTACTTATTTACTTTGCGTAACTTTTGTGCATAATTTTTGGCATTCAAAAAAAAACGGGTAGGTAGTATATAATAAATATATTTGTTTTCTGGTTTACAATGGGTCTAGGGTTGTTGACTGCATTTATGTATGAGTATGTAAAATAAACTTTTGTGTGTGATACATTGTTTTTGTTTTGGAGCTTTTTACAGTTTTCGAAACTTTTACATAGTTTTCGCAAGTTTCTTATTGTCCATGAATTTTTTACAAGTAACTTTAGTAGCCAAAATTGTTGTTTTTTTGCGAAATTTTAATTTTTAAGTGCTAAATTTGTGTGTAATAACTTTAGCTTTAAATTTTTATGAAAAAAATTTGCTATGTATGGGAATTGAATTTTTTCTTCTTTCGCTTTTTTCTTATTTTTGTAGCTATAAATTACACGTTTAACTTTAAGTTAATAAATTTGTATTTTTTGTGTTTGTTTCTTTCCGCCTAAACAACACAACGCCGCATTTTAAAAGCTAAAAGCTAAAACTAAATTTATTTTTCTCTTTCTTTTGCTAGGTTAGGTTTATTGCATTTTAGTACATGCAAAGTTTTAAATAATTTTCTTAATAAGGCCAAATCAATGTTCTTTGCTTAAATATTAATATTTGGGTTTCAAATAATTTTATAATTTTTTGTTTATTAATTTTTTATTTTTATTTTTTTTATGAGTTTGCAACATTGCCTTACGCCTTCATTTAGACTTTAGTTTTGCTTCTTCCTTCTCATACATATGCAAGTAGTATGCACAATTAATAAGCGCATCAGGCGCGTAAATGCAGGCTGTAACACGTGCTTTGCAACATTTATAATTTTTCTTGCTTTCCTTCTGTTTACAACTTTTCACTCACTGCTTGCTAGTGGAATGCTCTAGTAGTGATGTGTTTTTTTGTTAGAATTTTGTTTCTTCCAGGAGTCTTGCGCTTATTAGGCTTAAAATTTTCATGTGTCGATGTTTGTAATTGGTTGGCAAATTTTAAATCCAAAAATTGAAAAAAGTACGAATATTTGAGTTTCAAGCGGTGGGTGAATATTTTTTTGTTTTTATTAAGCCTAAAAATGAGTTCGGAAAATGCTATACAATAAGTAGCTGTACTGAAACTTTTGTTTTTTTGTGTAATTGAATAAATAACTTTTCTAATAAATAATATACTATTGCATTGTTTTTTATCATAGTTGTGTAATACAGTTTGTGCGTGTTGAAAATACAGTTAAAAATACTATTTATGCGCTTTTTACTGGTACTGGAAAGAAAATTAAATATTGTAAAGGCGGATCTCCTTAGCATGCGTATACGTCTGCGTGCGTTTGACAGAAAAATTTAATATACAAATTTGTATGGTAGCACCTACATAGCAACGCATGAAAATGTAAGAAAGTTGTATGGATTTTCACTTCTTAGCGTAAATTTCAAAAGCACGCACGTGTTGGAATACGCATGCTATGGAGATCCGCCTTAAGCGATATTTGAAAAATTTAATTTTTTTTAAGTAAGTGGCATTTGTTTGGTGAGAATACTACATACAGTAGTATGCGTTAGTATGGTGAATTTCCTTGTACTCATGTACTGATGCGAAATTGCGGCACTTTTCGTTCTAAAATAAAAAAAAAAAATTGTACTGGAAAATTTTGTAAACTAAAAAAAAAATTATTCCCCTCCTCCGCAAGAATTGATTTTTGCAAACTTTTTTTAGTACACCTCAAATTTTTCAGAAAATTTAATAAACAATAATTTGACTCTCTAAATTTTCACGTAATTGCTAAAATACCCAGCCCAACTTTTTTCCTACTGTCTGAAGAACTTTCTATCAATTCGATTGCTTGAGTTCCTTCAACTTTAACGCAAAATTCAAAATTTTGCGCGAAAGTTTGGTTTGAGTAGCAACTAAAAATAAAACACCAAAATTAGTTAAAACGTAAAATACTTCTTTTCTCCATTAATTTAAACTTAAAAATAATAATAATAATAATAATTAAATGCTTAAACTGAAACGTAATTTCGAAACGAGTATTCATGTGGTACTGGCTAGCGAGGTTGCCAGTGAATAAGAAAATTTACAAAAAAATAAACAAGAAAGTGGAAGAACTTATTTTATGCTCTGAAAAAGTTGAAACTAAAAAATTAATCATAACAATAAAGGGCTCATTCAAACACTACATAGTGTACAATAAAATTAAAAAATAATAATTAACGATCCTAATAAATTCGTTACAACGAAAGGTTTTTAAATTGCTTAAAGAAGTTGAATAATAACGATTCTTAATTTAGGAATCCGAAAATGACCGGCAGAAATATGGATGTACATATATGTTCTTTACAAAAGCAGTTATCATTCGATTACACTTTTTTTTTTGTTATTAAAAAATATGTACGCGTATAATCGCAACGAGCTTCTGTGCCTGCACAAAATTATTTAAAATGATATTTTTTAAACTTTTCGAAACTCTATTTTAAATCAAATACAGTTTGTATAAAAAATAAAGTAAACAATACTCGCTTGATTGTTGAATCACTACATACATACATACATATGCACTATGTAATTTCGAAAATGCAATGAAAATTATTCAGCTAAACATTAATTAAATTCGATCTTAAGTACGCGCTTAAGTGAGGAATTCCCTTTTGTGTCTTATAAATTCATATTGACTGGTTTTCTTTGCAGAAAAAATTATTCGAATTTGCCTGCGCTTACAAAGCTTTGCATTTTTTTTTTAACGATCGCTGACTAAGTTTATTTTTGTTATTCAGCTGGATAATATTTCCATTCAGCTAAGCGTCCTATAGACATTGAGAGCACTGCGTGTGCTACCAGCGTATTCAGCTGCAGCTATAACGATTCAGCCACATTTCGTTTGCCGTTCACACTAACTCAGCCACACTTGGTCGTCTATTCAGCTACTACATTGACCATCAATTCAGCAGACCCATTTTATTGTTGAAAAAATCAAAATATGGCTGGCGTTGATTTGTATGTGTGGGCGGCATTGTTTGCATTGATGGCGGACCACCGAAGCGCGGCGGCGGCGGGAGCGGCATCAGTCCTGTGTCCCCAATATGGTTAGCCTGTTGGTGATATAACGGCGCATCGCCAATATTCAGATGCGGCATGTCGTGAACGCCATGCAACAGTGGCGGTGGTGGCAACGAAGGCACCACCGGTGAACGATGATGTTGTTGCTGGTGCTGCTGCTGCTGTTGATGTTGTTGAAATTGCTGATTGAGTGATGGCGGCAAGATGGCACCCATTCCACCACCGTTCAACGGTGGCCAAGCCATATGCGGCGGTGGCGGCGGCGGCGGTGGTGGCGGCAACAAGTGTTGCGCCTGCAAGCGTTGGTGAAATTCATTTTGTTGTTGTTGCTGTTCTTGTTGATGCTGCAGCTGCTGGTGGCGCTGCTGTTGACGTTGCTGAAAGGCTGCGGCCGCCATTGCAGCTGCCGCTGTTTGTTGCTGGTACAACGTGCCATTAGCGTGACTGGCGAATTTTTTGCGAAACTCAACGATATTCAGCAAATTTCTCGAAGCGGCCGCTGAATTTCGTCTATGCGTTGCTTTACTGGCATTCGAAGGCGTTGTTGTCGATTTTGTAGAGGCGGATGTTGGATGCGCTGAATTGTCGTTTACCTATTCCCTGTAGGGTTTGCAATACGAATAACGGTGATTCATATGCTGACTATAGGAACCGGAATGGGAGAACCGTTTGAGGCACTTGGTGCATTGAAATGGCTTTTCGCCACTATGCAGCCGCTTATGTTCTGTCAGATGATGTTTATGCTTGAAAGCCTTCGGACAGTCCATGCACTGGTAGGGGCGTTGACCTGTTGAAGAGATGAAAAAATTTAGCGGTCAGTATAACAGCAATAACTTCGTACTATGTACTCTTAAGGGGCGCAAGTGGGCGCGCTCATGCTCACCGGAATGCTCGTACTTGTGTCTCGCCAGCGAGCTTTGTTTGGCGAACGCTTTGTCGCACTGATCACACACAAAGGGCAAGTCCGGGTCGCCGGCATGTCCGTGCGTTTCTGCTTTGGGTCGCTTCGGTTTCGGCAACAAGCCGCTGGAAATGTAGTCGTCGTCGTGTGAGATACGCGAATCATCATCGCGCCAAGAGCGCTTCTCTGAACCACCTGGGCTAAGGCTGGTGCCGCGATAGTCGGGGAATTTAATACTGTTGATCAGCGGATTGCACGCATACTCGCCGGGTGTCATGCGAAAAATAGCCTCCATTGGCATTAGGTTGCGCTGGGCGCCGGTAGGCAGCATATATGGTGGCAGATGACCGGCGAGCGAGGCTGAGAAACCGTTATTGTTGTTGTTGTTACCGTTGCGCGTTGTAAGCGGTTGCTGCTGTGGCAGCGATGGCGCTTCACTGGGCGAAGGCGTTTGTCGTTGGAAGTGTCGATTTGGATGCGGTGCGCCAAAATAGAATGCCGCTTGTTGTTGTTTGATCGACTGAGGCACAGAGGTGGCGGAAGATGGTGACAGCGAAGAGGGTGGCGACATCGAAGCAGACAATTTACGACTCAAGTTAATGGCTTCGTTGAGATCACAGCCGTTGACGTTTTGCATTGGTGCAATGCCGTATAGCGGTGAATGTTGTTGTTGCACAGCATTGCGCTTCGCCGAAATGGGCCAATCGCGCTTCAGCGACAAATCCAATGGCTGTTCTTCGCCGGTGCGGCCGCTGACTGGCACTGAAGCGCGCTCCAGTGCTGTAACAGCCGCATCAGCTGCAGGCAAGGGGAAAGGTAATTTGCCATTAGCTTGCTGATAGCTTTGCAGCTTACGCTCACGTGAACGATTGTTCTGAAACCAGACTTGTACGACGCGCGCATCCAGCTGCAGACGCGCGGCTATTATGCGGAACTCTTCGCGGCTGGGGCGCGCATTGATGGCGTAGTGTTGCTTCAGCTGCTGTTGTTGTTCCTCAGTGATGGCAGTGCGTACACGTACCTTACGCTCGCTACTTTCGCTGTTACAATCATTGCGGGAAGAAGAATCGCGTTCATCCTGATAGTCCTCGGCATCGCTGGAATGCAATAGCGAAGTGATTGATGTGCCTGACTGTTCGGTAGCGTCATCCGAACTATGCTGTGGTGGTCTAAGCGCCTGTGGCTGTTTCAGTTCCTCTTCAGCTTGCGGCTGTGGCTGACGCTCTGGCTGCAGCTCTTCGTAGTGCTGCTGCATCTCTTGCTTGATGTAACCGCAGAGCACCTTTTCGTGTTGCACGAGCTCGGTTTGATGATTAAATTGCGTATCGCAACGTCCACAGCGTAGCTCGGGCGCGCTGGCTATACTCAGATCGGTATTCGTGACCTTCTCTACTTTGTTGGTAGGCGTACACGTTTCCATTGGTCGTGATTCCTCAATATCGGCGGTATTGTCTAACTCTTGTTTAATCGCAGGCTCTGGTGAATCGTTTTCTGCCTGTTGGGCTTGTTCCTCCTCTGCTGGAGTGGCAGGACTACTCTGTTCTAACTTGATCGATGGCACTGTCTCTTGCCCAACAGACTCTGCTGTGGCAGATTCCTCTAAAATAGAATCATTTTGTATGCTTTCCGCCTCCTTTGGCGACTCTGTGCGATCTTCTTGCTGCACCTTTTCCCTAATTACATCTTCCTCTTCTTCCTCCCTCTCCTCCTCCTCCTCCTCATCGATGTGATTGGAATGTTCTGCTGCCTCTGATGAGACTCTCGCCTCCTCTTCGTCCTCTTCACCTCCCTCTTTAGTATCACTCTCGTCTAGATCCATTACTAGTTTGGGTTCATCGGGCAACTCCTCCTCGTTTACTTCATCCAACGAATCTTCAATGTGCGCGACGTGCTCCTCCTGCAACTCGTTTTGTGGTTGATCGCATAGCGCCTGTTGCTCCCCACGCTGTTCGTCCTCATGCTGCTGCTGCTGCTGCTGCAGTTGATGTTCTTGCTGCTGCTGTTGCTGTTGTTGACCCACAGCCGTAAGCTCCAGCAGGCGTTGTATACTGTATGGAGGCAAGCGAGGATCCAGCGCTAAGCTGTAGAACGGATTGGGGAATGTGGCCAATAGTGCGGCATTCATGGCATTCATGTTATAGTCATCATATTTGGGTAATAAATGTTGATAGAACGGTGGTACATTGCCATTCGCGCCCGCATCGCTGGCATAGTAATTCATTTGCTGTGCCAGTCCAGGTGCCAGTGGAGTGCTAGCATTCAGTGCGGGTTCTGTGAGTCCGTTTGTTTTAAGTGCATTGCCACTGGAGTTATTCCGCTTCGTAGGCAGCGCTCCATGGGTGGTGGCACTCTTTTCGAGTGCCTTTAGCATAGCACGGTTCGGATTCAATTTCATGCCCATACTGATGCATTTCTTTGAGGTCATATGGGAGGAGTAGGAGCCGGAATGTGAGAATCTTTTGCCACAATTATCACAACCAAATGGTTTCTCGCCGGAATGAATGCGTACATGCTCTTTGAGATGATGCTTAAATTTGAAGGCCTTATCGCACTGATTACACTTGAACTTGCGCAGCAAAGCGGACTCATCGTGACTGATCATATGACGCTGCAGACGGTACACATTGGCGAAGGCTTTGTTGCAAATCTTGCAGCTCTGTAAGGAGCGAAAAAGAAGGAAGAACAACAATCGATTAGTACAGGTGGTTAGATGTAAAAAATTAAGAAATATGTATGCATATGTAGGTGAGAATTTAACTGCTCGTATCTATTCCCACACAGTGACAAAACCAGCAGTTATGACTGTATATGCCGCAATAGTATAGAGAAAAGTTTAACTAGGCTACACTTTGAATATTCACCGAAAGCACTATAAACTTAAGTCCTTAATGTTGACGGCTCATCTGATCGGAACGCTCCCCAGTGGTACAACCCCATACATTTTTTGAAAAAAATTAGAACGAATCGGCGTTGAACCTCAATTTTCTGTGTTTAACATTTATGGACATAAATCAGGTAAAAAACAAGATCGATTTAAAACCGATTTGCCCATTCGTTGTACATTACCTTTTCAAAGGGTTTTGTCTAAATTTATGATAAAAGACGCATGAGTCTGCCACGCATTTCGTACCGCAATTTTCCCACAGTTAGTTATTAGGGGAAAACACTATTTCTCGCCTCGCATAGCACTGCGGTAGACGCTAATATTTTGATCTCAACGATAGATAATTCCCATGCTCTTATTAAAATATTTTACGATACGAGTTTGCTCTTGTTAGGAGTATCGCTTTTTGAAACTTATGGGATTTACTCCGATTGCACGAGATTCTTTGACAATGGTATGTTTTTACCGGAATCCCATTGATCATCGAAATCATACCTCCCATGCAAACTTAACCAGAAAAACGCCTTAAAAATACCACGAATGTCATCATTACTACATATATATATGAGGTTACGTTAAAATTCGTAAATTGAGCAAGATTTTTTTTCAGAAAGCGATAGAATATATACCGGTCTTTAATTTTTTTACAACTAGAACACCGAGGATTGCCGGGGGACAAAGGTTTTGCCCATCCAATGTGTCGAAGTTAGCATTTATACAGTTTAATTTTGGTCTGCTTATATTTATTGAAGTATTTGCTCGATTGCCTAGATTTTTTTCCTCAATTTTGTCTAGTAAGTGGTATATTTTCATATGAACCTACAACAAAAACAATAAAAACAAAATTTATGAAAAAAAACATTGCTCAATCGCAACGAATAAAAATCTTCTGACTTTTTTTTTGCTTATATTTTGTATAAAACTGCCAATTTTGTACAAATGTATGATGCATTTTTCTTATTCAAATATCACTTTGTTAGGCTAAGGGCCGTTTTTACAGTGACGAGTTAACTCTGATTCGGCAGTTAACTACAGGATTTCAGTACAACAATTGAAAGTAAACTGCCGAATTTGAGTTAAACCCCCAACGGTAAAAACGGCACTAAACCATTCAAATATAAAGATTTAGTACTCAAAATTTTGTATTTTTTTCCGCCGAAATCAAACTGTACGCTCCATATTTAAATTTAATAATGCATTATTTTTGCAACATATGTATATACCTACGATTTTTGCAGCTCGGGCAATGTGAAAACTTGGTATCTCAAATTATTTAAATTTTCTTGCTTTTTATTTAGCCTGCAGACAAAGCGTATCACATTTCACTTACGGAAGTAATTAATTTGTTTGCATTTTGAACTCAGCTTTTAACAAACTGATAACAGTAAAGTGAAAAATTCCCTAAGTTCGACACTGAATTGAGGTAAGAAACTATGTATGTACAAAAACAGACTACGCATTCAAGTAGACTAAATTTTCTTATCTGATTTGTACCTACAATAGCATTTACACGTGTTTGGATTTTTTTTTTTAAATTTTTGCTTTGTAAATTTGAATAATGAAATTAAAAATAAATGAAATTAATTTCATGCATAAGCTTGGCGACAAAACCAGGTTGCCGATAAGAAAATGTACATTTTTGCTATTAAAATTTAAGCGGTGTTGGTTGGATTTCTAAGAAAAGAAGTGGTTAAATTAAATATTAAAAATTTTCAATTTCCTTCTTCAGTTTTTAGTTTTTTGCTCAAATTCATTTAAATTATTTGCTAGAGGTGTGTTTAGTACTTGAAGGAATTTTACTTATACATGTGTATGTATTTATGCTGATTAACAGCTCCTTCTTCATAAACTGCTTTCTCGGAAGTCGGGTTCGAAAGAATTTTAGTTGATAAAAAAATATTTGCTGAATAATTTAACAATAATTTATGACACATTCTGGCTTGTTTCTACATAAAATACTTGCGCTTGTATGTAGGTTTATTCTTTCGTAATGTATGTAGATATATTCTTTTAAAAGAAGATTTATATTTATGTTTGCATAGCTAATACTTCGGAAAAGGCGTGAGAGGTCTTTGATGTGAAATAATTAGGTTTGATTATGTAGCTTTAAAAGAAAAGAAAGAAAATGTGATACATATAGAGATACTATTTTCGTTACCGATGTCTTCATCGACATGTACATACATCCTTGTTGATCAGTAGATAGATAAATTTTAGCCCATATGTTTTGATATCATCATCAATATTATTATCGTTATCAAAATAAGTATCGATACATTTAAGTATTGTTATCGATCGAATAATCGAAAAATTTATCCAAAACAATAAGCTATCGAAATGGTTATCGATTTACTTATCGATTTCTTTGTTGTGAACTTTAACGATACCAATACCGATATCCATATTGCTTCTGGATCTCTTTTGTGTTTGCATTTGAAAACTTTTTTCCTATTAGATTTTGCAAACGAACTTATTCTCAAATCGACTTCGAGCCGAAATCGTCCGATTTGGTTTCCGAATACACTTCAGTCCATTTGTACTCAACTGTAGTATTTCAACTAAAATCGGAAATTTACACTTTTCTGCAAACCACATAACAAGTTGAGTCAATTTGGCCTTTGGTTCGTATAATATGCACATTAGGAATATGACTTTTTTTTTTTAAATTAAAGTGAGGAATGATGAAACATTTTTTTTTCTTATTCGGTTGACTTGGAATTTTCCTTACTTGTTTTGCATACACTCGTGGCCACGCAAACTTCACCGCACCTTTTCCTTTAACATTTTTAGAATTTCGAAACTGGTTATTTTTTCTGTTTTTTTTTTTATACAGTTCACGCAACAAGGTCTATATAAATAAAAGTTTAAAACTTGGTACAAAAATTAGAAAAGTTTATTTAATTTTTTTTTTCAAAATTCAAACTTTTCAATACAAATTTTTAGGAAAACTTCGGTAATGCATTTAATATTCCATTCAGTTTGAGTATAATAATGTACTAGTTTGAAATGGCTCGAGATTCTCGCTGAATGCTTTTTATTTGGGAGAAAATGCGCAACATCGTAACAATGGGAAAAAATTTTCAAAAATCAACCAGAACTTTGAGCTACTTCAAACTTGTACTAAAATTAAACGCTAATAAACTGCATACCCGAAATTTTCCTAACAATTTTTATTAAAAAGTTTGTAATTATGATGAATTTCTCTAAATTTTGGACAGAGTTTGACACTTTATATATATAATTTGTATGTGTTTTTTTGCTAGTAAATTTTTTTTCTGGAAGTTCCCTGCGGGAAAATTATATACCAAATTTTAACTAAAAGAAAGAAAGAAAAAAAGAAAAACTTAGTTAAGAGGATTTAGCAGTCAAAAGATTTCGTTCTGGGTGAGTCCTAAAATCAGTCAAAATTTAGTGTTCTTAGTAGTAATTTATCTAAGGAAACTAAATTCCAAAATAAATTTTTTAAAATTTATTTATTTATTTAATTGCAAGGTATTCCCATGGTATTTCCATTTTCTGTACTCCCATTTTATATTTCTTAGGTCAGACGAACTTTCTATCTATTTCTGTATTTTTGTCGCTAAAAGTATTATACATAGAAAAAAGTACTCAAAACCAATTTTTTAACACTCTATACAAACACCAATATATGTACACACATGCATATCGAGGGCTTATATTCAATACCCCCTATCTGAACTTTTCACAAAAATGAGATTCTGCTATAAAAATCAATCTAAGACTTAACTGTCATCGGTGATACTAATGCTGAAGGAAGAATTTACTATTAAATTGCAAATTCAGAATTAACATCAGTGATGGCAGTTAAGTCCCAGATGGCTTCTAGCATCACAAAGTAGTTTTTGTGAAAATTGCAGATAGAGGGTATTGAATATACGTCCTCGATATACAAAATTTCACTACCCCAACGTACAAATTATGTCAAATAGCGAACAAACTTAACTAAATCACCCAGCCAAAAAAATAAAATGCTCTTAAGCGCAAATTAAATGATTTATTAGTTGAAATAATGCATTTATAAAAACAAAAAATGCTAGCAAACAACAATAAAGTCTAAAAAAATACTTGAAAATTCCGATGCAAATATGTTTGCTGTAAATTGGAGTAAAACAACACCTTTCAGTTCGCAACGAAAAATTATAACAATAAAATAACCAAAAACAAATGAAAATTGCGGCTAAATTATAAAAAATATATAGCGGCTGTCAGCAGAAATGCAGATTTATGCTTTCAAATACAAAACCTCTAAGCTAAATGGAAAATATGACACAAAATATTTACCAAACGAAAGTCGCTACGGCCGCTGCTGCTATGCAAAACAAGAACGCTCATTATTTAGCGAAACTTCACTATTCCACAGACTATGACTAAATAAAAATTAACAAATAAAAACCAATTGCTGGCTATATGTATATATAACACAAAAAAACACAGGTATGATAAAAAGCAAATCTTATAAGCAATGTGAAGAATGATCAGTCGACCAGTTGTGCTTAAGAGAGAGGTTCAACAACAAATAAAAAAAAACTAAAAAAAACAGCCGCTTCTAAATGATTGTTGTTGTTGATTAAAAGGAAAAGAAGAAAAGGAAAGTAGGAAGAAAAATACTTTTTATAGAAGTGGATTTTAAAGCCATTGAAATGCACAGGGTCGCATGTAAGCAGTACACAGATATGTAAATATAGGGAGGGAATACAAAATTAAAGATCCGAAATTGAAAGAAAAAAAAATTGAATAAGAGTACAATACCCACAAATATGTATTAAAAACTTGCACTTGCGCGTACGTTACGGTGACCATAAATATGGATTCGAAATTAAGGACAATTTTTCAAAAATATGCCTTCATATATTAACGTAGTATAAAAATATCAAAAGAGTATTTATGATTATAATTTATTAATATATTTTAAACTTTAAAAATTAATCACTTTTTTTCATCGATATTAATCTTTTTTTACATGAATATTTATAAAAGTATAGTAAAACATATTATAATTACAATAGCTTACACGAAAAGTGAAAATCTTTGAAATATTATTTTATAGGCAAATTTTGAGTCGTTCAAAACGAAAACAATACAATTTTTTTTTGTTTTTTTGGTACTTTTCGCAGTTATTTGTCAAAAATCGACGTCATGAATCGACGTAGACGACGAGTTACAAAGTGCCCTTTTCCAAAATATATAATTTGTGCAGATTGCGCTCCGTAGCATCTACATTTCTAATCCGATTTTCATTATCTTTGGCTCAAAAATTATTGTAGTGATATATCTTCTTTATCGATTTTTTAAAATAATGAAAAAAAAAATTCAAATGAAACTGCGTATTTGATTGAAAATCTAATCATGAGATATTGAAGAAAGGCTACGAAAAATACCAGAAATCACTTTTTTGAAAAAATCCATCCATTGTCCGATAATTTTAAAATAACGAATAAAATGCGGGACAAATGCAGGACACTTGGGAAAAATCAGTACATTTTCAAGTTTTTCAGATTTGAAAAACTACGCAGGACCGACCTTTGAAAAACAGTACGGTCCTGCAAAAAACAGAACGGATGGTCACCGTAGCGTACGTGCACATGTTTCCTTTGTTTGCAGCTTGAATCCCCTGCTCCACTTGCAGGGCAGCGCAGAAGCTAATGAATAATGAGAGCAAAGTTGAAGGTGTCAAATCAGCGAGAGAAAATTATTCCCATGACAGTTGTATTGTGGATGCACTTAAACAATATATGTACTCTTGCGGTTATGAGCATAGGTATGCACATTAGGGTTGTCTAAAAATAATATGAAAAAGTAAAGTCGG